ATCACTCTGCATCCCAGCCCACATGTGGCTCTTTTCTCCCATGTTTGACACTTGTACCATGCTTGTTTACAGTAGCTCATTGGGCTAGAAGGAGAAATTGTTTTGATATGATGAGAAATAATTATAGAAACCACTTTCAAGTAAATTGTTAAAAAAACTACTCATGCATGGGATGAAACATGCATGGCATGTTTCCCCATTTGTATGCATTTCACTTTTCACTTGTCGCAAAAAAAAAATGTGATTCCAACTCCTTGATTTTAAAAAAAAAAAGTGTCACTGTCACTGGAATTTAAAACTAAGTTGATGGGTTTGATTTGACTTTTTTTTAGTTTTTGATGAACTGGAAGTTTAAGATGGGTTCTGAGCTTCTCTGCCCTGGTAAAGTCTATAGTAGCTCAAGGCTTCCAGCCCTTGCCCTATCTGTAAACTTTCCAGCAACAGGTTACATTAAAAAAAAAAACAGAACAAAACATAACAAAACGAAAAAAAAAGTAAAATTTGGCATTGAAACAGGAAATATGTGAACCTGTCACAGTAAGCAGTCTCAAAGGGCAAGCTGCTTTGCAGGAGCTAATTAACCTTAGGAAATAATTACACAAATATGCAAATGTTGTTTAGATAATTCCATGTGTTATCAACTCAGGTAGTCCATCATAACTGCAGACCTTGCAATGTCTAGGTGTTAGAATCTGGCATAGTTGATAAGGCTCTGGTTGCTGCGTCGCTTCAGCTTGGTATTTAACAATTAATGACTGTGATATTACATTTAGTAAATTCAACCTGGTATTTGAATGCAACAGAACGTAACACCATATTCACGCTGCTTATCTGCATACTCCTAATGGCTCCAGCCATTAAAATGTTATATACCTTTCAACTCCTAGAGCTAGCAATACTTGAAAAAAAACCAACAGACCAAAATCCGCCATATCTTCTCCCATTTTTTTCTCCCCACAATGGGTGGTCTGTGCATTTACCCATAATCATTTTAGGGTTTCAGGGACTTAAAAACTGTTCCAGAGATCATTTTAAGTCTGCAGGCTGGTTTTTTTTTTCTCAAAGCAAAACCTCTCTTTTTTGAAACAAGATGGGGAGCAGCCTTTAATTCGAGCATGTTTCTGCCAGAGTTGTGCAGGCTGGAGCATCCCAGGACATCTCTAGAGGTCCCTTCGAAATCCTAACATTCTGTGACTTTATGATTCTATGCCAGGACATACACTCTACTATTACACTATTCTATTAAACTTTGGGTATTAAAATTAAAAGCCCCGTTTTAAGCATTTATGATTATTTCTTTAGCAATCGCTGTTTTGACTTTAAAAGTGAGACACTTCTTATACATAGTTAAGGGATAGTGTTTAAAAATTAAAAAAAAAACTACCAAACTAAGAAAAGGAATCTATTCTCAAACCAATATTTGTGAATACTCATCTCTTCCACATGAAATAAAATTTCGTTCCGTTTGCAAGCGCTTGATCATCATTTCTCATTCAAAAGGAATACCTCCGTGTGGCAAGAGCATCTTTTTGAGTAGTCCCACGCACCTGTCATTTACTGAATCAGAACCTAATATCTGGCTACTTATATCCTATATTACTTCTACACACTTACATTCTATATGACTTTTTTGCATGCCGCTTTCGTAGCAGGTTCCAAAATTGTGTGCCCCCTCTAGCATTCCGGAAAAAGAGTAAATACAACAACAGCGATGTAGAATTCTTTGGCAGTACCTGTGTTAAATGATTTTGATCACCTTTGTATCCAAGGCCATCTTCAGTGGGATTTGCTGCATGCGATTATGACAGGTGACCAATATCCAATAGTCACTGACAGCAAAGGAGGTATATTTGCTCCGTTTGTGTCGGTGAAAGCAACAAAAATGCAGCAGTTATTAGGAAAAAAAGATGCAGACTAATTTATTAGTGAATTAAAGGATAAGCCTCTCTGATGGCATTCAGTTAAAAGCAGAGGCAGGCAGGACCTGGGGTGGAGGGAGCACAGGTTGTACCTTCGCTGCTCAGAGCATCTGCTCCCTTCCCCACTCGAGCACAATGGAGCTGGGGTGTAGGAGTTCCTGATCTGCAGCAGTCCCGTAATTGCCTGGCTTTGGGTTATTTTGCATCACATGGAAGTTTTCATCCTTCCTAATTTTTTTCCCCTTTTATTTCTAATTATATGTATATATTCCAAAGAATCAGCTTATTTAGACACAGAGTTACCCTTTACACACAACCAACTTGGAACAGCCTGGAAATTTAAATTCAGCTGTCCCAGCACCTTTCCATCCCAGTCTCTTTCACAAACGAGACTGCGTTCAGCCTCAGCTGCCTTCTGAGGTACGTCACAAGATTTCTCCGCTCCTTTCTGTACAGTCACACAGATAATTATATTAAGCGTGGCCGAGAAGCCCTCACTTCATCAGGCAGTTTAACAAGGTGGTGTGTGAGTGCGGTCTGTTTAGCTGCAATGGAAAGAAGGAAGGCAGCAAGCCTCCTGAAACTCTCACCTCTTGTACCAGAATAGCTGCATCCAACCTTGTTATTTATCCCAGGCTCCCCCCAGCCAGATGTTTCATGTACAGACATGGTGACGGTTTATCCTGCGTCCGAGCTGTTTGAAATAACGGCTTGTTACGAGGGAGGGGGAGGAAAAAATAAAGCAGATGCTCTGAAGAAAGAGCTTTTCTTCTAAACATACGCAGCTCCTCTGAACTCCTTCGCTCACATCCGTGCTTTTCTTAACCTTGTTTAGGGTTTAGCAGGGTATGAACGTTAGCACACCTTATCCTGACATTTTGTGGCTTTTATTTTTCAGCAGTAACAAAGGAAACTGTCTGTATCTGACTCATTCTAGCTCGTTTCTTTCTGCTTTTGTAAAATCCTGAGCCTTCGTACCGGACTGTGGTGGAGCTGCGCAGTTGATGGTTTGGTTTTCTAGACCACTGGTTATGCTTTAATTGGTGGGGGCTTTTTCAGGCTGAGTTTCTGAATCCTTCAGAAGCTTCTTGCTGCTGTCTTAGTCTGGTGGAAATCCTAAATTTGTGTGCTTTTCCCAGCAACGTGTAGAATAATCAACACAAAAATACCTGAAAACACGGTATTAACCAGAAACAACCTCTTCTTTTTTCAGAAAGTTGAAGTGGGGTTATGTATGTGCACAAAAAAAAAATGCTGTAAAGAGAATTAATGATAATTTAAAACCAAATATCAAAAATAAATGTGCCTTTTGCACATGTATCCTGATTAGAGTACATCACTTTTCCATAGGAAATTCCAGTCCCAGGCTTCCTTCAGCTTTATCTTAATAACTGGTCTGTCAGTTGTATTTTCTGTGTGAAACTTATAAGAACTTCCCCCTTTCCTCACAAAAGGAGGATTCTTTACCTCCTTTACCTATCTCTACAATCAGATTTCAGAACAGGGTTGAAAGAAAATAAGCTCTTTTTTACACTGAGGTGGTCTACAGTAGTTGATACATAGTTAGTTAAAACTATGTTCTGTCATAGTCAATCAAGAACATAATCTGTCCAGGATTAAGGAGAATGCTTCGGAGCACTTCAGTGCTTTTTGGCAAACTTGATAAATATGTTTTAATCACTGCTATCTTGGAGAAAAAAAATCTAAAAACACATAATTGTTTTAAAAGCTTTGGGTCCAGATCCATAAAGATTTACAGCCGTCTCACTTCTATTTAGGAAACCAGGCATGAGAATAGAAATAAAAGCCTAAATCCACCACGTTATTTAGTTGTCTGTCTTCCCGTTGATTCTAGACACTTGTAAGAGCTTAAATTCCCAAAACTGAGTTGCAGAATGGGACTAAGACCTAAATCACTTCAGTGTTCTTGGTAAAGTTAGAGTAATTCAGACTGCATGATTAGCGTCATCTGATTGCCAGTGGCTTTTGCTGGTTTGTACTTTATTTTCCCCAAGGAAATGAGGCTTTTGTGGTCTGTGTCTGAGTGGCTTAGGGGTATGAAGTTGTTGGTGGAGCAAAGCAAAGCGGGAAAGGGATGCAGATTTTAGGAAATGAGTCACCTTGATTGATCAGCTCTTCCTGGCACAGAAAAAGAAAAGAAAAAAAAAAAAAAGCCTGGAAAAGCACCTGCGGTGTTGTGCTGGTGGGGTGAGGAAGTTGCCAGAGTGTCTTAGTCCTCTCACCTGAGACTGGACAGATTTATGGTCACAGCATCAACAAGCTGAGAAATAAATAAAATGTAGGGGGGTACAGAGAGCCTCTGAGGTAGAGGTGGGAGCGTGCAGCCCGGACTTTTGAGGAGAGTGCTCTAAAATCGGCGTAAGTCACTCCAGAGCCTTCAGTGACTCTTAGGTTGCCATTCACAAATTCTCGTTCAATAATAAGAAAAGGCATGCCTCTAGCTGCCGGAGGTTCCAAAATAACTCCCAATGTTAAGCAATCAAGAGGTGTTTTATCTGCACAGTGTCACATAGTCTGCAGTTGCAGAAAGTAACATCTAAAAGAGCAGTTGCAAATACCGTAATTCTAATCCTTGTTGGATTCCCGTTGACCAATAATATAAAAAATTGTAAAGCCTGAATTTGTTTTTATATCGTTCCCACTTGTTTTTATTTGTTTTATCAGACTAAGGCTTAACTACTTTGAACAAACCATCAGTCAGTAAACATTTGACAAAGAGTTGTCAAAAGAATGAAAATCAGAGCAGAGGCTCATAATTTCTTTGAATGCCTCTGTTTAACTGAATTGCCATCATGGTATTTAGATAAAATTTTGCAGATGCATAATTTTTGTTGTATTTATTAAAATAAGCCATGATAAAGCCGCAGTTTCATCGTCTTTAAATTGCAATCCTAAATTTCTTCTATTTAGACAAATGAATCTCTTTTTTCTTTGACACTACGGTATACTCATCTGAGGTTTGTTTTAACAAAACATTTTAACATTTAGGAACATGTTGCTTTTAGACAGAATTGCCAGTTTTTAAAAGGTAATTGTCAAAAACATGATTTCTTTCTGCAGGATAATGGATCTCCTGAAGAACATGCAATTTACGTCTGGGACCATTTTATTTCCCAGTCAGCTGCGGAGAACGTGTTTTTTGTTGCTCACAGTTATGGTGGACTTGCATTTGTAGAGTTGGTAAGTGTGATATCTCTGTTGCCTTATTTCCTGATGCCTTTCACAGATTTTTGTAAGCTCTTTGAGATCACCTTCTCAAAAGCAGCCATTTGAGAGCAGCCTTGAACGAGTGGTCAGACACACATCTGTGGGGATTTCTTTGCAACCAGAAGGTTGCTGTTTTCGGGGGTTTTTTTCTGGTTTTGAATGAGACAAAAAGGTCCGACGTGTGCACGACCCTGAAAGACTGTGGGAGAGCAAAACACATTAGATCCTCCTTGTCAAGGCTATGAACCAAAAGACAGCACTCGTTGAGTTTCTGCTCTGGGGCAGAAAAACTGGAGGAGAAGGCTGAGATGTAAGAACAGTTTTAAAGCTGAGTCATGTTAGCAAATGCACCTTTTTGGACACAGATTGGAACTGAAGGAGAGGGGAGTTTTGCCTGATTTTGCAGTTTTTCCACGGAGGTCTGCAGAAGTTTCTAGGGAGACTTTTTTTGATGTTTTTTGGGTTCTCGATGAACCCTGCAGTGATGTAAAGTGGGCCTGACTCTACTCGGTGTAAAGCTCACCCAACCCTTGATGCTGCGGCTGATGAACATCCAGTTTGTCCAGTTTTCCCCTTTTCTCTAAAGACAAATTTGCTGAATCTGGTACACGAAGTTGCCTGTTGAACTTGTGTACCATTCTTTAATTTTAGCTATAGTCACCTCAACTGTGAAATGCTTGTGTAATCAGTATATGCTTTATTTAAGAAAACTAAAAAAAAAAAAAAAGTTTGTATTGTGAAACGTAAATTGGAGAACATTTCAATTGGTTTTATAGACACAGGAGCCAGAAGATATATATGTATGTGTTTTGTCCATGACACATTAGTTTAGTCTGACTACGAGTTAGTAAAAGTGGTTCCTGCCTGGATGCCTTAGCTAAGAAAAAGCATACACGAGTGTTTTGTTTTTAATCTTATGCTGCTCTAAGTAGCAAGAAGTATCCAGAACAGGACCACTTATATTATTTTAAGAACTTAAGACTTTTATTAACCCTCTTCTTTTGTAGAAATTAAGACCATTTTGATTTTCCCTGTACTTCTAGAAGAGTATTATTAACCCACATACGACATGTACAGATTCAAAACTTGAGCACAGTTCAACTGATCATTTTCTGTAGGTGTTTTATTAACAGGTCAATAAATAGCCTCAAAATGAATTTTTTAAGAGGCCAAATTAGTGAAAATTAATAATTCCTCCTATAACCACAACTGTGGCCAAGAAACAGGTTGCATTGCCTGTGCCTCCTGGTGCTCCTCAGATGCAGCGAAGGATGGGGAGCATCTCTTCTGTCTTGGCTTTCCTGAGTTGTGACTTTCTGGGCTTCAGCCCAGGTTATTCTGGTGTGCCTCATCTGTCCAAAGTGAATCGTTAGCAGAATTTCTGTAGTTTTTGTAAATCCATGTCGTCTGGGTCACTGGATGCCTACAGTTTAGCGCAGGGCAGGAATGAAAATCAAGTGGAGACCTTTCTCAGTGTTTCCTAAAGAAAGCGCTTATTCGAAGGAGTCTTGGAGAGTTTTCAGTCGGTGGCTTGAGGTGGCATGGCTAACAGATGACCAACGTGTCACTCCCATTTTGCCTGTTTCTCTTGTCACGCTGGTGGAAATTTCTTCACTTTTGTTCTACTTTAATATGAAGCACACAGATGTTTCAGAACAAGACTTGACTTCTGACCTTGGGGCTTCCAGGGTCAGGGTGCTCGGGGCCTGTGAAATTATCACAAGCTGAGCTAAAGTTTTTATCCATCGCAGGAAGCAACCAGTAAGTAAGAAGTTAAAAAGGAGCTTTGTCAGAAAGACAAGATGGTCTCAGTAAGGGTCAGCTTCTGTAGTCTGCTGTCTCTGCAGGAGATGCATGCCTGAGAGGAGGAGTATAATATATAACCATTGGCACATCACATATCTGTCATGCAAAACTAGACCTGAGAAGTATATTTAATGTAGTTTGATTTTTTTAAAAAAAAATCAAAGAGTATTAACACCTGATTTTGGTAGAGGTGGTTAGATACCTGAGCTCTGCTGAAAGCAGCTTAATTAACTAATGCATGCATTGAGGAAGATATCCTTGAAATAAACCCTGAACTGTGCTATCACAGTATTAATTTGTAAGATTTTATTTTTTCATGATCTCCTTTCTCTTCAACTTTATATCCATATGGCACTTAGTAATTGCAAACAGCTCAAAAAAAAAATAGAAATGGAGCAGCTGATGGGCAATTACTGTCTTATGACAAATACGTACTCGATCGTGTCACTGTCTTTCCTGCTTTGTGTGGGGGAGGGTGATGGAGCAGCTACACCATATAGCAACCCATACCATCTCTACACTTGCTGTGCAAGAATTTTGGGTCAGCTGATTCATGAAAATTATAGGTTATAGGGGTTATGGAGACCTGTTGCGCAGCTGCTCCCTCTGCATCCACGCCTGTTGCAGGAGAGCAGTGTGAAGCACATGGGTTTAATTTGGAGAGAGGGGTTTTGCCTGGGCCCTCTGTGTTTTATTGTGCCCGCAGGGAAAAAGAAAACAAGCAAAAAAAAAAAATATCAAAAACCATCTGCGCTTTTAATGGATACCTTTTCAATTCATCTCGCATGTTCAGTGCTGCCAGGTCTGTCCCGACTGTTTGCCATCGTCTCTTTCGTGTCATTTCATTGTGGCGCGAGGCTCTGGGTGAAAATTCGACGTTCTGGTGCTAAGCAGTGAAACCCAACAACACCTGATATCGAGCAAAGAGTCCTTCATGGTCATTCGTACTCTCCCAGAGCAGCGTTTAGGCTATGGTTTGGAATTAAAAAAAAACAGTAAAACTTGTTTGCAATTTTCAAATGCATGCCGCACCATCCAGTGCTTCTATTGTTAGACATTATTGGCCTTTGTGGCTTTTTAAATCTACATTTTTGTGTGTCTGTGGCTGCGAGATGTTCAGAAGAACAGGGAGAGTCTGTAATACCATGCTTGAACGCATAAAAAGTGCTACCCAGTCACTTCGACGTAGGCATACGATTTCTGTACCTTGCTGGGTTATAGATTACTGGGGGAATAATTGAAAGGGATTGAACATGTGTGGGAAGTAAAGTTCCACCAATAAACTTAATTAGTTGTATTGTTTATGGCTTGAATTACAAGTGCTAATCATAAACCATATGCTAAAATGTATCTTAATATTTAGTAATTAAGACTTCGTGCGATTGCAGTTTGAAATTAAGTGTGCGTCTAATAATATCTACACGTAAATTACTTTTTGAATGCACGGCACTAAAAATAGTTGTTGGGTCACTGTATTCTGCTAATTACTGATTTTGAAAAACTCAAGCCATGATTCATGAACGCTTCTCAGCTTCTTACTTCTGTTATCCCTTACACAGTGTAGTCGGGGGTTTATTTTCAGAAGCAGCTTGCTGTAGTTGACGGTAAATTGTGGAACTTTCCCAACTCCTAGCTTATAATAATTTTATGAAATTTAACAGAAAGTGAGAATTTCAAGTTGATGGAGTCAATTTTATATTTAGTTTACAGAAAATAAGTTTCTGGTACAACGCCTCCTTTGAGTTTTTCTGCCAAACTTTGTGGGTTTACAATTATTTTGCTTTAAAAAGAATGTTTTCCCTTGTCATTGCCTGCACTCAGGAGAAAATACATATTGTTCCCCCACGGCTACCTGCGTGTGGTGGCTGTCCCCTGCAGATGCAGTGACAGCATCAGGGCAGAAAGGGTGGTCCTAGGAGGCTGGGTGACATGTAGAACTAGCCGTGTCCATCATTGCAAAAAAATCCACATGACAACTGCTCATTTCAGAATCACGAGAAGAATTGTTAAGTCTAAGCTTTCAGAATTGTCAGTTAGGTATTCAGTATCCTGAGATTTAAAAAAGAAAGAGAGGAAAAAAAGGTTTTTTGGAAGATTTCTCCTGTATTCCTGAGGCCCTCGGCTCTGTGTTTTCCTCAGCACCCTATAAACCAGAAGTGTAGCTTTTTTGCTTTAATTTTACTTAAATAATACCTTTAAATGAAAAAAAAAAATCGCGAAATATCATGGGAATCATGACAAAATTGTGAGAATTGGTAGTGGTATCTCCAGCTTACAGCATTCGTACTGCTGCAAAAATACAAAGCGTACGGGAGAATGTAATATAATTAGATTAGGGGAAGGAAAGTAGGTTCATTGTCTTTGAGCAGATGAGAAACTATTCATTATGGTCTTTGTTGGCTAAAATGTTGGGATGTATGTATTGGCAACCTGCACAAAGCTGTAGCTAAAAGTGCTTGTATATTTTTATGTCTATTTTTAGGCAGCTTCGTTAAAACGAGAGCCCTTAAAATACACTGTTCAAATCACTCTATCCACTGTCACATCCTAACCCCATCAAAACTGACCAATTTTGTCCATTTGGAGTAATTTTGGATCCCTCATTTTGAGATACTCTCTGCAATACGCTGCCACTTCATTCTGTTGTTTTGTGCAGAGTGCGGTGAGGACGTGACCCTGGTGAGAGCTGTTCGGTGCCGTGATGATAACGATGGTGAACTGACGCCTGCTGAGCTACCTGGGTGTCTCTGAGCTGCAGCAGTGTTCTGGCACAGGCAAAATGCAGTTTAAGAGCCTTAATGACTGGGCCTGTGAACCCATCATTAGCTTCTCATTAGTTTAATTTACCAAAATTTCAGATCGGGTGGTTTGTTATATTTGGCTTTTTTTGGTTTATGTATACTTAGATAGATACATTTATCCACTAATTTTTGGTACTAGTTTGGCTCAAGAATTGATGAGCATCGAGCAGGTACGTTGGATGTGCAACTCTTAATTCCCCTGGCTGAGAAATTAAATGGAAATGCATCTACTGTTGTGTGGCAGAAATAGTGCAACAACTGTGTTGCTTGTAGGAGTCATAGGAGAGAAGCAAAACACCTCGGTGACAACCTCTTTTCATTTGTGCCTTGTGATAGGACCAGGGGCAATGAATTCGAGCTAGAGCA